TTGTAGAATGTTAATAAAATTTCCTCATAGCTAAGAGACAGCGCCAAACTCTTAGGTGATGTGTAAAATGCTATTTAAGGGGTTGCTCTTGTCAAGTCTCTATAAGTCACTGATGTCATTTTAAATTTGCCATTGGGGAGAATTCAGAAGCATTTTGTTAGAATGAATCCTGTACAAAAGCAGCTTTATTCAAATACGGATGTGTTTGTGATGGAGAGATTTTAAAGAGAAGGGCTGAAATTCTCCAATGGAGAATGGCTGTTACCTTCAACGGAACTCACAATGATGAGAGAGACTAGACACTGGGAGGGAGACAGAGATTGTCATTCACCGTGGTGTAAATCCTGTGCAGCCAGAGTGGCCAAGGGGAGTGTGAAGAAGTGCGTAAGAGAGTTAAGCTATCAGTATAGCTAAGCATAGTTAGGCTATACTCAACTTTCAGAAGGACGTTTGAAATACTAAATACTCATTTACATCAGCATATAAGGGACACTTGTTGGCTTTCTTGCTGTGTTTGTTTAGATAATACTGTCAATTTTTACCATTTCTTTTTTATTTTAGAGAATTTTTTCTGACTCCTTCTAAGTTGAGGAGAATTCCTCAAATTTTATCTTTAAAGGGACCAACCACGACTGTCGACAACATCTGGCTCTGAGCAGCTGGTCAAAAATAACTACAGAATAAGTAACTGGCCCAAACAGCTCTTTACTAGCCTTAAAATAATGTTCATATAAAACGCTCCATAAATACTAAACCTCCAAATTTAAATGCAATTAATATGTAATTTATACACTTAGATGGAAAGGGATCTGCGTTCTTAATAATTTAAAATATTTAATTCAAAAGTAATTTATACTTAGCTTTAGAAAACTTTATAATTCTATCACTTTTTCTTAATTATATTTCTCCCATGCCAATAATAAAATTCATTTCGCACTCTTGAATACAAATGAACTGATCATGGAAAGAGATCACCTGGCATTTTGATGAATTGAAAAGTTTGTCTAGTGTTAAATTTAAACTTGGATAGGTAGAAGTTAAATCCATGCCACCTATGTTTTGAGTCAAGAGGTCTCAGTTATAACCACAGTAGAATCTAATCTGGTTTCCTTCCCTCAGCCTGACTCCTCTCTGTTGTAGGAATTTAGCAGAGTTACTGTACTGGGGGAGGGGGGTGGTCTAGATTTTAGAAGGAACAACTGTGTTTTAGAAATACTTTGAGGAGTCCTTGTGGAAAACAGTGATCGTTTTGCTGGAGGGGCACCGTAGCCGTCCCACGACTATCACAGTGCACACTTGTATTGTTGTGTATTACAAATGTTACAGAAGAAAGGACTAGAGTCATGGGGGTCTGTGCTACTTTCCTTCAGTAGGACTTGCAAATTAGATTAGGGGCCTTGGTATGAAGAAATACTTAGTGTAACTTTCAATAATACGCCTTTGTATGGCTGGCTGTTTGGGGTTCAGTCCATCAGAGAGGCTGGACCTTCCTGCTGCCACACAGGCCTTCCGTTTCATCTTGGGGTGCCTCTCTCTTCACCTGACCCATGCTACACAGTGCACCCAGACACCTCCCCATTTCTTTCTTGGAGCAGCTACCATTGCCCCAGTAAACTCCATCCAACTGCCACTAATGTGGGGGTGTTGTGTAACAGTCTCCTAGGTGACCGAAACATTCTATCATGCTGGGGAGCACCTGAAGTGGGGAGGTAAGCAATCAAAAATTAAAAAAAAACCCCAAACTGAAACTGACCAGATGCCATGGGCCTCTCCCTCTAGAGTAAGCAGAGCCCAGCTGCCTGGAAGAGGTTGAGGCCTACAGAGACACAGGGAAAGGATGCTCTCCAACCTATTGAGCTGCCTGCAGGCTGTGCAGTGTGCTTTTGTGAGCTGTCACTCACGCTGGGGTCACCTTTGGTGTTACAACTGTCTGAGTCTTTCCTGCTCCTGTTTGTAGCCCTCACCCATATTCCTACAAGCAACCCAATAAAAGTGCGTGGTTCACAAAGTTGGACTTCATTGGTATCCGTACTTTGGTCTGTTGTGCGTTCCCTATCTGGGAGGAATAGAAGAGTGTGTTTCATCCCCAAGCAGTGGGTGGTCGTGGGATGGTGGTGGGGTAGAGAGGGAGATAAATCCCGGGGAGACAACTTCAGCGTTCCTCAGACTGGCTTTAGGACACCAGCATGTTTTTAAATGACTTTCTAATATAGTCAGAAAAGCTATAGGGGACACGAGAAAAGGCCTTGGTCCTGGTTCTACCCATTGGTACTTGCATCCCTGAGGTATCTTTGATTCTCTTAAGACCCAGCATCCCCCTGTGTGAATGAGGGTTATAATAAGCACCTTCCCTACCCTCTGGCATCGCAATGAAGACCAAACCAGATAGCATATGCGAAAGCACTTTGAAATACAAAGCATGGTACAAATGTCTGCTGATGTTTGTTGCTTTCTCACGCAGAATGCTTAAGGGATTTAGAGAAACCCCACTGTGGTTATTGGCAGATTAGGATAAAAGAGCACAGAGAAATCCGTCCTCACTGATAGCACATCCCGAGCACATGGTGGTGGTGTTTCCGTGAATTAAAGATCATACCTGTGTTTTCTGGAAGAGCAAAAGGCTGAGAGCCATAGGGTCCAGCGTGGGAGCTCCTAATTCTCGGTCTGCTCCTTTGAGTCCACTCTTGACTAGATGACCCCAGGGCTTCTGTGTCTCCCAGACTCCGATTGTCCATGATCCTCCTCCTGAAGCCACAGGGCCTTTTCTATTCCAAGGGTTCCTGCATCAAACTGATACCATTGTGTCCTGGCGACTCACTGGCTCCTGTCCAGTGGGCAGTAATTCAGTTTCTTTGATGATTTGTGACAGCATAGATGTGGTCCAGGTATAAGTGGCATTTATCTGGGGCAGGGATTACACCACATGGTTTGGCTTTAACCTTCTGCCCAGAGCCTTAATGCAGCCTCTGTGTTTAGTTAATACTGTGTACTGATTGTAGCCAGCAACTTGCTTTATCAGGACTTTTAAGCACAGGCTATTTAGCTGAAAAATAAACACTATTTGTCATTTAAATTTGGGATTATGACAAGGCAGAGGGGATGCTCTTGAGTAGCATCAACTACTTACTTTTCTGCAGACATCGCTTCTGTGCCCCATTGAGGACAAGGTCAGACTATAGGCAAGAGAGAGCAAAGGACTGGATGGAGAAAATAAAATCTAGTACTTGCCCCGGAGCGTAGAGGAATGGGAATAAGCTAGAGAGGGCACCAGCATTGAAAATCTCAACTTCCCATTGATGTGAAAGAGAAGTAGGAAGTGTGAGCCAAGCTGAAGCCTCCCTCACTACTGAGAACAAATTACAGTTTCATGCTACTCTTGTTAAAATGATTGGCATTGTTTTCCAATATTTATTTTTTATGTCTATGGCCGTTTTGTCTTATGTATATATATACCGCATGTGTGCCTGGTCCCTTCAGAGGGCAGAAGAGGGCACGCAATCCCCTGAACTGGAGTTACAGAAGGTTGTGAACCACTATGTGGGTCCCGGGACAGAACCCAGGTCCTCTGCAAGCCCAGCAAGTGCTCTCGGCCACCGAGCCCTCTCTCAAGCCCCCAGTCATTGGCATCTTTTAAACGTCTTCCTTTTAACCTCAAAATATAACATTCCAATTTTCAAAAGAGTGTATCGATAATTCTACTTTCTCAATATTCTTGTTTTCCTACACAGTTTTCCATGTTTGTGCCAACGCATTTCCTTTTTAAAAAATGTTTTCTACATTCGCCTCGCTTCTGAGCACACTATTGTGTCTGAGTCGCTGCAGCCAGACTGACCGAGGTACGGGGACACAGAATTCCCAACGGCTCCAGGAATTCTAATCGAGGTTGTTCAGAAGCTGGTCACACGGCCGGGCAGTTCCTGGGCAGGTATGGCCTCAGATTTAAAAGCTTCAGTGTGGATGATGTGGATGCAGAAAATGGCTCTGGGCTGTAAAGCGAAACAGAAACCCAAATGGGAAAGGAATGGCGGTAGTGCAGTTGAAATAAGTAAAGCAATTTCAAATGTTGTGAAAGCCTCTCAGATGTAATCATAGCAAACAAGGCACGAAAGGTAAAAATCCATCTGAAGTAACCGCTGCCAGTGTCAAGGCTCTGCCACATGCAGGATTAGAGTCATCTAAGGAAACCATGGCTTTGTAAGGGACCACTTAAAACTTTGGGAGATGACATACCCGGTGACTGCAGGCCTGAAATCCCAGGACTTGGGAGGTGGATGCAAAAAGACCAGGCATTTAAGGTCATCCTGTTTTTAACTGAAATAGTATTATACATCATTTTCACACTCTGTATGGTCTCTCTCTCCGCTCTTCCCAGGTACTCTTTCTAAAACCCCTCCCATATCCTCCTCACTCTCAAGTTGAAAGTCTCATTTTTGTTGATTATTAGTTACATAAATATGTGTATACATATCTATATATACATATATGTATATGTCTATCAATTACACACACACACACACACACACACACACACACACACACCATCCATCCTTCAAACAACCTGCTCAGTCCGATTTTGTTGTTTGTACATGGTTTCAGGGCTGACAACCCAGGGCTGATGACTCTGCATTGGACAACCAATAAGGGGACTCACCCCTGAGAGAGTCTAACTCTCCTTCAGTAGTCAATAGTGACAATATTGGCTATTAGATTTTTTTTTTCTTCAGATGAATTGGGTTTCAGGACAGGTTAGAAAGAGAAATGGCCAAACAGAGAAGGTACTGTCTTAAAAACTGCAGCCCAAAGGCATGTTGGATCTGAGGGAGGCCGCTCTGGGTTTCAGGTCCTGCTCACCTGTCCTTGCCGAGTTCAGGGAACCAGAGCAGGTGGCCCGAGCCCCTCCAGTTGTGGTTCTGTGTGTTCTTCTGGTGGCCGCCAGGCGTCGCACTGGAGCCGCGGTTGCCCTGGAGACCGCTCGGCGAGTGGGCAGGCGGCGCCGAGCCCCCGGCTAGGGAATAACTGGCGGGAGCTGGGGGGGAGTGGCTGCGGCGGCCGGCGAGCCCGGGACGCCCGAGCCTGCCCCGAGCCTCGGCGGAGCGGAGCGGCCTCGGCGCTCCCGTGTCCCGCGCGGTCCCCGCTGCACCCCGCCGCCTAGGAGCCCGGTGGACGGCGGCTCCCGCGGCGGCCCCGGTATGACTCGGCGGCGCTCGGCTCCAGCGTCCTGGCTGCTCCTGTCGCTGCTCGGTGAGTAGCCCAGCCCGTCCTCATGCGGCCGGACCGAGCCTGTTGACTCCCGCAGGTGCCGGGGTCCGGCTGCCCCGGAGGTCGTGGAGGCCCGGGCCACCCAGGTGCCCCCCGAGAGCTCAGTATCCCCTGCTCGGCTCCTGGCCGCCACTTCACGGAACGAACTCCCGTTGCCAGTCCAGTTAGAAATCGTGTTTAGAATCGCTTGCCGTTACTAGAAGGGTCCAGGAAAACTTTGTAGCTTTACCGCAACGTTTTAAGAAGATTGAGGTTTAAAAAAGAATTAAATTGATTAGAACACGTTCGCAATTTTAAAAATGTAGCTTCCTTATAACATTTAAAGCGCATACAGGATTAACAAGCCGTTTATTTTATTTATTTTTTTTAAAAATCATTAGTTTACCAGATTACATTGGAAAGCAAAGTTTTTTTGCACTTAGTTTCCTAACCGAAGGATCTAAGTTGCCTCATAAAAGCACATAGAATGTAGCAATACGAAAAAGAATTTGAAAGCGTTTGCTTATTCAGATTTAATTCCTTTATTTTTTCTTGCAGTTTGCCCCCCCCCAATAGACATTATATGTAGGCTCTGAATTTCATTTTATACAATGCTTCCTTTGTGTGTGCGCCGTTTTATGGAATCAAGTTGTCTGTCTCAACTAACTGGTTGCCGAGGTTTATGGAAATTTGTCGTGAAGGCTTTTATCAAGCTAGTTTAGTGATGTTTACATTTCTCTCTAGAGAGCTCTGTAAGTGTCCAGCCATATTTTTATGTCTAATCTTGAAGTAACCCAGTTTTAGACTGTTCACCTAGTAGAGGAGAAAGCATAGCGAAACATTAAGTGTACCTTTTTGATTGTAGATGCCAGGGGAGGTGGAAACATCAGAGTTCTGACTTCTTGAAGTTAAGTAGGCGTAGTTTTAGTGACGCTATGCAGATAATTAAGTCATACACACCAACATATCCTTTTATGCACTTGGGCTTCCACACTGATTTTGTCGCTCACCGCCCTCAGCAGGCCTGTTTCTCTGCCTTTCAGTCAGAGGAGAAATGAGAGGATACAGAGATGTTTCTTACAATCCTTGAACACAGCTGGAATGTTACAGATGTTGCTGTAAGAACAGCTGGCATGTTTTTGATAGAAAAATCTATGGTTAAACTCGGTTCGTTGGCCAATGGAGTTTGGCTGTGGGTTGATTTTGAATATATTAGGCCGTACTTTTTAAAGAGACAATTTCATTTCTAGAATCAGCCAGACACAGTCACCTGATTGATGCCTTTGCTTTGGGTAGAACTATGTCTACTTTATACTAGACTACGTCTGAAGATTTCCAGCGTGGTTTCAATCTTCCAGGTAGTCTATTCTGCAGAGCCGCCTTTCATCCTTAAAATATATGTTCCTCTGTTCAACAGATATTTTTTGTGGTTACCACTCGGGTGCATTTGGACATCTGGTGGGTGGGTGGGTGGGGCAGGGAGATGGTGGTGGCAAATAGAGTTTGTCCGCAGTTCTTCTGAGGTTTTCTGTCTTTAAAATGCACAAATACTTTATGGCATAGCCAATAAATGATGAATAGCGTTTGCGAGCCACACCACGGACCGCAACTGTCACTGCCAAGTTAACTTTTGATCTGGACTTTGATCGCATAGAATTTAGATGATCTAACTTTAGAGTGGTTGGGCTTTTATAGCTCAGGGAACAGTGGGGATAAAGCATATATGAAGAGAAAGTGCAGAGGCATGTTCACATATGAAGAGAAAGTGCAGAGGCATGTTCTTGAGAGGGCAGCTTTCTAGTTGGAAGAGCAGAGACAGGCCAGAGGAGGTGGGTGGAGACGGTATCTAGTGTTGAGTTCTGAGTTAGGGTTCATCTTGGGAAAAGGCCCCAGGGCTGCTTCCTTATAGGCTGAGGAAGGAGGAGGATGTGCTGAGAGTGTGGGTGGGTGGGTCTGTGCTGTTATCCGGTGTCCAGACTGAGTTCTTGAACTGTGCAGGCAGCGGCACCATTGGTTTGAGTAAACTGTGGCGTATCTTTAGAACTCTGTGAAGTTGGTTCTGTCATAAAGGGGGAGGGGAGGCTGGGTTCTGGATATGTGAGCCAGCTGTGGAGGAGGAATAGTGAGCGTGAGAAGTAGGAGAATCTCGTCCGTAAAGGAGGGAAAGCGGGTCCCATGACATTGCTGTTCCTTTGTGAAACTTCTGTGAAAGAGTTCACAGGGAATTTTGTTAGAACAGTTTCCTTCTGTGTAATTCCATCAATGGCCTAGAGATAGTTTAAGTGAGCTAGGTATGGTAGTGGGTGCCTGCCTTTATTCTCAGCACTCAGAAGGCAGGGGCAGGTGAATCTCAGTGAGTTCAAGGCTAACCTGGTCTACAAAGTGAGTTCCAGGCCAGCCAAGGCTACGTAATGGGACTCTGTCTACAAATAAGCAAGAAATATCTGGAATGTTTCTTCTACTTGGGATATATAGCAGCAGATAATTTTACAGAATTTGAGGAAGTGTGTAAGAAAAAAAGGGTTGTATCAGAAACAACGAATCTTTTAGTGATGGCGTTTTGAAAAGCTGATTGTAAATTTCCATCTCTCAGCTTTAATTTAATTATGTAAATGTTTTTGGAAGATTTTGGAAGATTTCATTTTTTTTTTTTAAGTCAGAATCTGTAGTTTGACCCTCTTGAAAGATGGCAGATACTGTGTTAAAATTTTGTAGAAGTTTAGTGTACTCAGCATCCGGCACTTGGGAAGTGGTTTAGAAGCTAAGTCAGAGTTTTTAATAATGTTGTGCTTAGAATGGTTGTCAGACCCACAGGTTGACAAAGGTGCTTGTTTGGGCTCTTACCCCCGGGAACAGAAAGTGTCACATTGTTTTCACACTTCAGCAGTGGAAACACCTATAGCAGAAATTCTCATTTGCATCTTCATACTTGCGCCATGTGACTTGGTGGCAAACAAGGAGATGTACCAGGCCACAAAATTCTGCATCATCCCAGGGACAGGAAATGAGGGATGGGCAGTGTTTCCTGAGTTGGAACAGAGTTGGGGAATTGTTGCTTTCCCGTTCGAATTATCTCTATACCTGTTGCGGTGCCCATGCCGTAACCCCAGCATTTGGGAGGCCAAGGCAGGAAGATTACAAGTTTGGGACCCTCTTAGACGCCACAGTGAGTTCTCTGGTCAAATCTGGGCTGTACCATGAAGCCCAGTCCCTGCTTCATCCCTCCACCAGTCTTCTATGGAACCAGTTTATTTAAAATGAGGGTTCTAAGTCTGTTGCTATCTGGGCCAATAACAACAATTTATTTCGACTCCCTCAGCTTTTACATATGCTTGGTGATTTTAAGTCAGACTGCTGGATTTCTAGCCTCGTCTCTCGCAGTAATCACAGTCACCCGAAATTTCCCCTTTGCTGAGGATTTCCCCTTTAGCTGGCACCAACAGGTCTCAGTCTGCGCCCGCGAACGGCACCCCTCCCGACCATCTGGAGGGTGTCAAGTCCCCTCCTGATCACGATTCCGTGAGCAACTGGCATAACAGAGGTTGTCAGTTTCTGGGTGGGCCTCCGAAGCCATCTGACTTGAGTTGTGTCTTGAGAGTAGGAAGTTAATTCGTGTATTTAGCGGTCAAGCGTATCTGAAAGCCATGAAGTTTTTCTTTCTGTGTAAGTTTGGGTAGCTGACATCCTTTCTGGAGGGTCTCCGTGTGGAAGAGCGACGATGGCAGGCAGGGCTTTGCATTTGTTGGAGACATGAAATCAGAGGGAGAAATGCGTTTTCTAATTTGTGGCTGAGCCTTTCCCTAGCGCTCTGTCTCAGCGTACCACGGCTGTCATCGTTGACTGGGTAGCTGTTAAGACGTGTGGTTCTGCCCCACTCCCGTGTTACAGGAAGAGGCAGGTTGTAAGAAATATCACTCAATATTCATGATGAGCTTAGGATGAAATCAACACAGATTTGCCAGTGTGGATGAACACTGCTTGATGAGTAGTCTTTTGAAAAAGTGGGCTCATTTTGATTCACTAAACTAATGCATTTTAAGAGGAAAGTTAAATGGTGTTATTAGTGGTGTACCTGCCTGAGAAAAGTAAGGAAGTTTAAGTCCTGGAAGCCCTGAGCTCAGGAAACATGTGTACCACATATTTTTTTTTTTAGAAGAATTTTCAGAGAATTAGGTTAACGGTGGCTTTGGCTGATGGTTAATCAGGATTTAGGTTAAAGTAAAGTAGGTTTGTGGAATAGGAGCGTAGATGCCGGGGTTTTCACTGAGGGTCACAGGTACACGGGGTCACATAGTGAACACAACCTCATCCTAACGGAGCCACAGCTCAGCTAGTGCTAAAAGACTCATCAGTTTAGTGTTCTAAAAATCTGACGAGATGAAAGTCCGTTAGAAATCCCACCGCTGGGAGCAAGGCAAGGCCCGCATGCAGCGGACACCTCCCTGACCCGTGTCCAGAATCTCGTGGTCCTCAGCACTCTGCAAGTTTCCCCGACCCTCTTCTCACTAGCGTCGGGGGCTCCTCATTCCTCCTCCTCCTCGCCTGTTTTGGGGTATGCCCTGGCTTTCTGTTGGCAGCATCAGATTCTTCAGAGGTAGTCAGGTTAGTCTTTCTCGGCTGCATCTGGGTAATGTGCTGATAAAAAGCAACAAACAGCCGGCACCCACAGGACAGATGCGGAGATCGTGTCAGCATGGGCACGGTGGGCCGATGAGGGAGGACCGAGAACTTCGTGGGATAGTTCCGCCTTGTTCTGTGAAGGCCACTCTGTGTGTTCTTGGGATACCTGAAAAGAACACTGTTTTCCTTTCTAAAAGACATGTAGACCCCGTTGTCATTTCTTTGAGGAATTGGTGTGACTCATGTTAGTCAATTATATAATTATACAACGCAATACATATTATGTATAATGTATAAATTATACTAACGTTTGGCATATATTTTGTAGCAAAGGTGAGAGAGATTGATCTTCATAGTTTCAGAGAAATTCTGCGAGTTGTTTG